GAGCTGGTGATGTGGGTAACGCCTAGCTTGGCTAGCGCTTCCTGAAAATGGTGACTGGTGAAGTTGCTGCCTTGATCTGTTTGCACGATTCTAGGTAATCCAAAGGTAGTGAAGAACCGGGTCATGGCTCTGACTACAGTCTTTGCCTTAATGTTCCGTAAGGGAATCGCCTCGGGAAAACGGGTACTTGAACACATAAAGGTAAGTAGGTACTCGTTGCCCGCCTTGGTTTTAGGCAAGGGACCTACACAGTCCATGACGATTTTAGAAAAAGGTTCTTCTAATACAGGAATCGGACTCAAAGGGGCCTTAGGAATTGTCTGGTTTGGCTTTCCGGCCAACTGACAGTTCGTGCAACTTCTGCAGTAACGCGACACATCTTTTCTCATTTTGGGCCAAAAGAACAGTTCTTTGATCTTCGCCGTCGTTTTAGAGACTCCTGGGTGCGCTGACATTGGATGGTCATGTGCCAGCTTAAGTATTTCATGCCGATAAGGTGGAGGGACCCACAGCTGGTTTTTACCCAACCATGGTTCGGCTGGTGAGGCATTCACTGGTATAGCGCGACGAAAGAAGAGGCCGTTCTCGGAGAAATATTCTCCATCGTCAGATGATAGAGATTTTTCGACCGTTGCTTTGAGCTCCACGTCGACTTGTTGAGCTTTAATGATGTCTTCCTGAGATATTCTCAGGGGTAAGCCCAGGCTTGTGTTTTCTGGAAGCATAGACTCCAGTTTGGGAGTCGAATTTCTTGACGATGATGGCGGGTGTGGTTCAGACGTTGTGTCAGCCAATTGTTTGGTCTGGCTTCTTGTCACCGCACATGCAGGATACAGTTCATTATCATTATCTGGAACTGTTGACAAAGGGTCTGAAACCGTACAGGGGTATACTTTGCTTCCCGCAAGGTCATTCCCTAGAAGTAGGTCTACTCCTGGGACAGGAATACTATCTATCACACCTAAAATGACCTCACCTTCGACGAGATGATGTTTCAGGGCAAACTTGTGTAGAGGGACGACAGTAGATTTTGTCCCCACTCCCTGGATAATGGAAATCCTTCCGGTGTTCGTTTCAGGTGTGATGTCCATTGAACTTTTCAAAAGTAGTGATTGTGACGCTCCTGTGTCTCTTAGGACGGCGATATTCTTCTGAGACAACGGATCACCTGGTTTGCTAATGATGGCTTCGGCAATAAAAGATGAAAAGTCAACTTTTCTCGATCCCTCGAGATCGGTAGACTCGGAAGAAACTGGATGGTGGCGAGAACAGTCAAAATGTGACTGCACATAATGTGTGGAGACTTGACTACCTTCTTGCGGACACTTAGGGTTAGAGTCCTTTTGAATTCTAGAGTTCATAGTTGGACTGGCTGCTTGAGGGGATAGAGCATAGTGCGCGGAAGTACGCACCACCTCTCTGTTATATTGACGACGTTTGTAACAGTCCTTGACAAGATGACCAGGCCTTTTGCAGAACTGGCATACTGCTCGACGATTGAGAGTTGATCTTGGGTTCTCTCTGGACTGTAATGTCTTCAAATGTTGGCCAACAGGATGATTGCTGCCAAAAAGGGGAAGCACGGGGTTGAGGCGGTTTCCTGACACTGGTGGTTTCTTATGCACCAACATATAGGTGTCAGCCGACTCAGCAGCCTTCTGGATGTCAGTTATCTTGTTATCCAGAATGTGTAGTCGTATCTCTTCAGGCAGGGACGATAGGAATTCTTCCCTTAGGATAAGTGACCTGAGTTTCTCAAACTCAGAAACTTCCTCAGAGTGTAGCCACCTTGAGAATATTTTCTCCTTTTCAAAGAGAAATTCCACATATGATTGTGTGGGTAACTTGCGGAGTGTTCGGAATTTTGTCCGATAGGCCTCGGGCGTCAGTGCGTAGGCCTTTAAAATGGCAGTCTTGACCAAACTATAGTTATTTTGAACGTCGTGAGAGAGTGCCTGGTATGTTTTTGCAGCTTTCCCAGTAAGGACAGAGCTCAATAAAGCAGTAATGGAAGTTTCGGGCCATTCACATGTCTTCGCTAAACTCTCAAACGAGTTAAAGAAAACGACCAAATCTGTTTCATCAAATTTAGGAACTAATTTCCCAAATTTGGCAATCACTTGTCCTACCGACAACTTTTTTGGATCTACCAGAGAAGTGACATCACTAACTTTACCCAATTCTGATTCCAACCTCCTCCTATCTAAAGCAATTTTAACTTCCAACTCCTGTTCTTTTAATGCCTTCTCTAAAGCAACTTTCTCCTCGCGGAGTAATACACCAGCCAACAAACTTTCATCAAATACCCCTTCATTAATGAAATGAACAACAATTTTATCTCTCAACACCTCTGACTTCTGCGTAACAGAATAATCCAATTTCAATTCCTTAACAACACTAACCAAAACTTTTCTACTCAACTTTTCTACATCTTCAACAGTAGGATTAGCCAAAAAAGACTCCATAACACTAACTTTCAAATCACAACAAGCCTAGATCCTTTAAATTAATACACAGCGTTGGGCCGTGTACTTGACCTCTAAATGTAGGACGTGACACGTCTGCTTATTTGACCTAGATAACTCTAGCCTGAGCGCGCGTTGTAAGACCACGGCGCTACACTGGATAAAAAAACAACTAAATCCAACTAACCTTAGTATTCAACTGATATAAACAATAACTGGAACGACAGATTAAATCCCGGACGAGCCCCCACTTTGTAACGTTAACCTATCTATCAGCCAAATAGAAGGAGAACGTCCCCGGATTCTTTTTTCGGGGTCATATGCAAATGCCTTACGGCCTAAGTGGATGAACACTTAACACAACGACCACTAGGGCTCGAATTTAATGTCTAGGGAAGCTAGTGATACTATTGTAATTAACACTCATCCAATCTACATACGACCTTTTAATCAGCGAACTCAGAAGTGGCAGAACACAAAGTTGAACTAAATAAAATATTTAATGTATAAAATATCAAAACCCAACTTACACAATGTAGGAAAAAACACTATCACAGATTTCTACACTGTCTAAAGAACAGCTACAGGCCACACAACACTGCTATATCTTCAGGAATTACTTAGCGACAAGTAATATTAAACTAGAAGATTAAATCAACTTAAGAAAGCAAGGCACACACAGGTCTTAAGTACTCTCACGTTCAAATGGTCAGACTCTATAGCCGGACAATATGGACGGCTGCCTGATCAAGATAAAACTGCCTCGTAGACTGCCAGGTCAAGATAAACTGCCTCGTGTTGCGAGTGTGCAGTGCAATTAAAGACTTCTGTGACAGGGGAGGTTATCCTCAACTCATGTCGCCATTGGTTGGGATAATCATCTGATCAGAATCATTCAATCAGATTTTAATGGAAAATTTCTATGTCTCAAACACCTTAATAAGTCAGTGGAAAAACCCCAGGTGTTACACCATCATTCCATATAAGGAATTATACAATGTCAAAATAAAAATGACTCGACCTAAGTAGGTCACAAGCCCAACAGGTGAGATGTTCATGGGATGTCAACATCACAAGCCCAACAAGTGAGATGTTCATGGGATGTCAACATCACAAGCCCAACAGGTGAGATATCAACATCACAAGCCCAACAGGTGAGATGTTCATGGGATGTCAACATCACAAGCTCAACAGGTGAGATGTTCATGGGATGTCAACATCACAAGCCCAACAGGTGAGATGTTCATGGGGTGTCAACATCACAAGCCCAACAGGTGAGGTATCAACATCACAAGCCCAACAGGTGAGGTATCAACATCACAAGCCCAACAGGTGAGATGTTCATGGGGTGTCAACATCACAAGCCCAACAGGTGAGATTTCAACATCACAAGCCCAACAGGTGAGATGTTCATGGGGTGTCAACATCACAAGCCCAACAGGTGATATGTTCATGGGGTGTCAACATCACAAGCCCAACAGGTGAGATTTCAACATCACAAGCCCAACAGGTGAGATGTTCATGGGGTGTCAACATCACAAGCCCAACAGGTGAGATTTCAACATCACAAGCCCAACAGGTGAGATGTTCATGGGGTGTCAACATCACAAGCCCAACAGGTGAGGTATCAACATCACAAGCCCAACAGGTGAGATATCAACATCACAAGCCCAACAGGTGAGATATCAACATCACAAGCCCAACAGGTGAGATGTTCATGGGGTGTCAACATCACAAGCCCAACAGGTGAAGTATCAACATCACAAGCCCAACAGGTGAGATATCAACATCACAAGCCCAACAGGTGAGATATCAACATCACAAGCCCAACAGGTGAGATGTTCAAGGGATGTCAACATCACAAGCCCAACAGGTGAGATATCAACATCACAAGCCCAACAGGTGAGATATCAACATCACAAGCCCAACAGGTGAGATATCAACATCACAAGCCCAACAGGTGAGATGTTCATGGGATGTCAACATCACAAGCCCAACAGGTGAGATGTCAACATCACAAGCCCAACAGGTGAGATGTTCATGGGATGTCAACATCACAAGCCCAACAGGTGAGATGTTCATGGGATGTCAACATCACAAGCCCAACAGGTGAGATGTTCATGGGATGTCAACATCACAAGCCCAACAGGTGAGATGTTCATGGGATGTCAACATCACAAGCCCAACAGGTGAGATGTTCATGGGGTGTCAACATCACAAGCCCAACAGGTGAGATATCAACATCACAAGCACAACAGGTGAGATGTTCATGGGATGTCAACATCACAAGCCCAACAGGTGAGATTTCAACATCACAAGCCCAACAGGTGAGATGTTCATGGGATGTCAACATCACAAGCCCAACAGGTGAGATGTGAACATCACAAGCCCAACAGGTGAGATGTTCATGGGATGTCAACATCACAAGCCCAACAAGTGAGATGTTTCAATGTCGCAGCCTTCCCAACTCACCAAACTTACCTGCTTGACTGTCCCTTTTTTTACATAAACTCACAACATAATTTTGTTTTTCAGTTTGCCAACAAAGAAATGGCGTTTGGGTTTTTTGAAACCAGCGCCAGATCTGGTGAAAATGTGTTCGCAGCTTTTCAGTATTTGGCGTATCACGTGACTGACATTTGTGACCCTAAGCTGGTAGGTCATGCAAGATGTCATACAACCCATGTCATGTAATGGATGTCATGTAACAGTTTTTTGATGTAATGGATGTGGTGTAATGAATGCAATGTTGAGTGATTATGTGTTTTGTGACAGATGTATGAACAGTAATATTATTTTTGTCGAAATGTTCCACATATTTATTTTTAAAATTTCAGATGAAGTCCTATCACCCATTCTTGATCCGAAGAAAATCAAAATATATAAACAGTTTACATAAGCCTCCAGCGTTACGAGATTTCTACGTGAAGAAAAAAAAATCCAAACAAAAACAAAATAACAATGTTTACAACCAGGATGTGTCCTTGACCCTGAGTGAAGAACAAAGTACTGATACACAACAAAGTCAGCACATGAACTCGATAAATTGTCAACCATTCAAGTTGGATAACTCTGCCGAGCTTTCAGAAATAGGGAACTCTTCAAGTGAAAGAACAAAGAAATGTAAATCTAGTTCTAGGTCCAGCAGTTGGTGTTGTTTTGGGAGGAGGAAAAAAGTCAAATGATGACAAGTGTAGGGTTCATGGGGGTCTAGCATGTTGTGGTGTAGGGTTCATGGGGGTCTAGCATGTTGTGGTGTAGGGTTCATAGGGGTCTAGCATGTGGTGGTGTAGGGTTCATGGGGGTCTAGCATGTGGTGATGTAGGGTTCATGGGGGTCTAGCATGTGGTGATGTAGGATTCATGGGGGTCTAGCATGTGGTGATGTAGGGTTCATGGGGGTCTAGCATGTGGTGATGTAGGGTTCATGGGGGGTCTAGCATGTGGTGATGTAGGGTTCATGGGGGTCTAGCATGAGGTTGTCAATATATGGTGAGCCAATATGTGGTAGTCAATGTGAAGTATGTCAAAAAGCTGGGTAAAACAACTAAACTTCAGTACTGTGGTTACTTGAATGGAGAATTGAAGCTCTACATCTGACAGTGCATTCAATGAGAACACTTTAATTTGCCAACTGGTGTATCTAGAAAGATTAAGCTATAGTTGTACTCTGACATGCAAATCAGAAAAAAAATAGTTGTTTGTAAGTAAATAAACATACTATGGGATCAGTGGTGTAACTTCCCTAAATTTCTTCAAAAACCCCAAAGTTTGTTTCAAATTATGATTTTAACAGAAGTAATAGGAACAAGTGAACAAGGCTAAGACAGAAACTTTAACTTCAATCATTTCAGCAGTTTTTTCAATTTATGCCAGACACAATGAGCAGCTGAAGTAGAGTTAATCTGTAAAATAAAAAAAGGGGGGAGGGGTAGAGTGGTCAGCACTATGTCCAGCTTTCTTTCCCTATGCTCAACAAGGTACCCATTAGTCAGAGATTTTTGGGTGAAGGCTACTAGCTGACCAAGCAGGCTCCTCAAAACATCAACAACTTAATCAACAACTCAAACAACAACTCAAACAAGAGTTGATAAAATCAATATTTATTGGCAAGTAAAAGTTTTGTATCACAGAGATGTGTAAACTAAAGAAATGAGGTTCATGTAATGGTAAACATCATATCACCTGTGGCAAACATTGTATCACCAGTAATTCCTGTGGTAAACATTGTATCACCAGTAATTCCTGTGGTAAACATTGTATCACCAGTAGTCCCTATGGTAAAAATTTGTATCACTAGTAGTTCTAAAAACAGTCACCTTCAGCAGTTTTGCCACCAGACAAAAATATTTTTGTACACAAGACATTTTGACATGGGTTTTAAGAGTTGCTAATCTTGAAATCTATGACAAGTTTTGACTACCATCTGACACCTATAGCCAGGGGAGGCGAGCAGACAGGCTGGGGTTAAATCCCTTGGATGAGAATCACATCTCGTTGTCTGTGTCTGTTGGTGTGGAGTAGCGTCCTGACTGTCTGGAGTGGGGGTCATGGGCTGATGGGTGTAGGGACGACCCAGCTGGACTGCGAGGGGGTTCTGGGGAGGAGAGGGGGACAGTAAGGGGGCTACCATCATGTGTGGCTAGTACTGATGTATTTGTGGCTACATTTGATGAGGCTATCTGTGTACTTACTGTCTGTTTCTGATGTGTGATGTTAACCCCCACCACACCTGTATAGCTACCCCCACTACACCTGTATAGCTACAACCAATACACCTGTATGTCTACCCCCACCTCACCTGTGTGGCTACTCTCACCTCACCTTTATAGCTACCCTCACCTGTGTGGCTACCCTCGCCTCACCTGTTTGGCTACCCCACCTTACCTGTATAGCTACCCTCACCTCACCTGTGTGGCTACCCCCAACTCACCTTTATAGCTACCCTCACCTGTAAAGCTACCCTCACCTGTATAGCTACCCTCACCTCACCTGTATAGCTACCCACACCTGTGTGGCTACCCTCACCTCACCTGTGTGGCAAACCCCACCTCACCTGTGTGGCTACCCCCACCTCACCTGTATGGCTACCCTCACCTGTGTGGCTACCCCCACCTCACCTGTATAGCTACCCTCACCTGTATAGCTACCCTCACCTGTGTGGCTACCCCAACCTCACCTGTATAGCTACCCTCACCTCACCTGTATAGCTACCCTCACCTCACCTGTATAGCTACCCTCACCTGTACAGCTACCCTCACCTGTATAGCTACCCTTACCTATGTGGCTACCCCCACCTCACCTGTATAGCTACCCCACCTCACCTGTATAGCTACCCTCACCTGTGTGGCTACCCTCACCTGTATAGCTACCCTCACCTGTATAGCTACCCTCACCTGTATAGCTACCCTCACCTGTATAGCTACCCTCACCTGTATAGCTACCCTCACCTGTATAGCTACCCTCACCTGTATAGCTACCCTCACCTGTATAGCTACCCTCACCTGTATAGCTACCCCCACTACACCTGTATAGCTACCCTCACCTGTATAGCTACCCTCACCTGTATAGCTACCCTCACCTGTATAGCTACCCTCACCTGTATAGCTACCCCCACTACACCTGTATAGCTACCCCCACTACACCTGTATAGCTACCCTCACCTCACCTGTATAGCTACCCTCACCTGTATAGCTACCCCCACTACACCTGTATAGCTACCCTCACCTGTACAGCTACCCTCACCTGTATAGCTACCCTCACCTGTATAGCTACCCTCACCTGTATAGCTACCCCCACTACACCTGTAAAGCTACCCTCACCTCACCTGTATAGCCACCTCACCTGTATGGCTACCCTCACCTGTATAGCTACCCCCACCTCACCTGTATAGCCACCTCACCTGTATAGCTACCCTCACCTGTATAGCTACCCTCACCTGTACTGCTACCCTCACCTGTATAGCTACCCCCACCTCACCTGTATAGCCACCTCACCTGTATAGCTACCCTCACCTGTATAGCTACCCTCACCTGTACTGCTACCCTCACCTGTACTGCTACCCTCACCTGTATAGCTACCCCCACCTGTATGGCTACCCCCACCTCACCTGTATAGCTACCCTAACCTGTACTGCTACCCTCACCTGTATAGCTACCCCCACCTGTATGGCTACCCCCACCTCACCTGTATAGCTACCCTCACCTGTATAGCTACCCCCACCTCACCTGTATAGCTACCCTCACCTGTATGGCTACCCTCACCTGTATAGCTACCCTAACCTGTACTGCTACCCTCACCTGTATAGCTACCCTCACCTGTATAGCTACCCTCACCTGTATAACTACCCTCACCTGTGTGGCTACCCCCACCTCACCTATATAGCTACCCTCACCTGTATAGCTACCCTCACCTCACCTGTATAGCTACCCTCACCTCACCTGTATAGCTACCCTCACCTGTACTGCTGCCGAGGGAATCCTGCGAGTCCTCTCTGGGACCAGAGACTGGCGCTATGGGAGGGAGTGGGGCAGCTGCTGGCATGGCCGCTGGGATCTCCCGGTCCACCTCAGAGATGACCACTCTTTTACTGGACTTTGACGAGCCCCCAGAACTGGCTGAGTCTCGCCCTGACAAATCACAGTGACAATTATTTCCTGCACCATTCTAAGCAATATCAATTTGATATTTAAAGCACTGATAAACTTGACATTACAATTTCTAACAACTCATCACTGCTGAACACAAGATACCACTGTACAGTACCTGAAGATGGCCGTCTTTCTGTTGTGTCCCCACCCAGGGGGGCTGTGGGTCTGTTGACTGTTACATAGGACCGCAGGGTGTTCTGGTGGGCGTTGACCAGTCTGTCTTCACTTTGGGGAAATGGTACTTTGGTGCTGTAATCAAAAATGGCCTAATGACTGTTGTGGTCCATAGGTAGAGCACAAGACTGACTCTAGCAGTGCTTTTTACAAACATTTTTCTCAAGGGGATGGGGGGTGCACTTGAAACTTTCCATTAAGGCAAACTTAAATTTCCAGGGGGGGGGGGGGGGGCTGACACTGGTTGAAGTATATATTTTGTATATAAATTCTATTTCTTTTGCGGGAGGTAGACATGCTTCAGGGATGGGAGAGGGGTTTGGCGGTGCCTCTAAGACATGCTTAAAAGAAACTCCAGACTCTCAGGAAAGTAAAAGGAGCTGGGCATACCTTTAGCTGATCAAAATCTTTTATTTCAATTTCTACTTTTTAACAATTGATTTTATTAGTCATATTATTCTTTTCTAATAAAATGAAGGGAGAGACCTCACCAATTTTCATTTTGTAAAAACCACAACCAACATAGCAATGAATAGTTATATATATTTAATTTTTATCATAGCTAAATGGCTTTTGTTAGGTATTCTATTTGCCATTTTTATCTCATTTGATAATAATGTTTTTTAAAAACTATGTATTAAAATTGTACAGAATTAGAATAAAAATTTCAAGCAAATAAAAAAGAAGGTTAAAATATTTTAAATATTGTTCCAAGCAAACATAATGGAAATGTATATACCGTATGTTATTTTGAAATGTATATACATTATGTTATTTTGAAATGTACAAACCTTATGTTATTTTGACCAATTAACATTCTGTTGATGTCAAGTTCTAGGATTCTGGGTGTGTTGAGGGAATTAATTATGTCATCTTTATAATTCCAGGAGTGTGATGCTTGCATCTGAAACATAACATTTTTTCAATCTAGGTCAATGTCATTTCTTTCAATCTAGGTCAATGTCATTTCTTTCAATCTAGGTCAATGTCATTTCTTTCAATCTAGGTTTATGTCATTTATTTCAATCTAGATCAATGTCATTTCTTTCAATCTAGGTCAATGTCATTTCTTTCAATCTAGGTCAATGTCATTTCTTTCAATCTAGGTCAATGTCATTTCTTTCAATCTAGGTCAATGTTATTTCTTTCAATCTAGGTCAATGTCATTTCTTTCAATCTAGGTCAATGTCATTTCTTTCAATCTAGGTCAATGTCATCTCTTTCAATCTAGGTCAATGTTATTTCTTTCAATCTATGTCTATTTAGTTGACATTTCTCAGTTATAACTTGACAAGGTTTTGTTTACACATTACTCATTTATTAATTTACTTATGTTAAAAAGTGAACTGAAATCAGTCTCCCAAAACCCCAATCAAATCAGTCTCCCAAAACCCCAGCCCCAATCAAATCAGTCTCCCAAAACCCCAATCAAATCAGTCTCCCAAAACCCAATCAAATCAGTCTCCCAAAACCCCAATCAAATCAGTCTCCCAAAACTGCAATCAAATCAGTCTCCCAAAACCCAATCAAATCAGTCTCCCAAAACCCCAATCAAATCAGTCTCCCAAAACCCAATCAAATCAGTCTCCCAAAACCCCAATCAAAAGACTCACGTTCCACATCCCTTTAGCAGAGCTCAGTGAAGATGTCATTCCATTGCCAGTGACCTTGACCTGTCTGTTGTCATAAACAGGGTCAGGAACTCTTTTGTCAGAGGATGTCGCCTGACATTTGACATGGGAACAAATTAATAGCCTGACATTTGACATGGGAACAAATTAATAGCCTGACATTTGACATGGGAACAAATTAGTAGCCTGACATTTAACATGGGAACAAATTAGTAGCCTGACATTCAACAAATTAGTAGCCTGACATTTAACATGGGAACAAATTAGTAGCCTGACATTTAACATGGGAACAAATTAGTAGCCTGACATTCAACAAATTAGTAGCCTGACATTTAACATGGGAACAAATTAGTAGCCTGACATTTAACATGGGAACAAATTAGTAGCCTGACATTTAACATGGGAACAAATTAGTAGCCTGACATTTAACATGGGAACAAATTAGTAGCTAACAATCAACCTAACCTCAACCTACCAACACAAAAACAAACAGAAAAAGTAAGCTTTAGTCAAACAACACCCCAATGTCTCCAAACACAACATCCCACTAATCACACCCCAATGTATGTTAACACCACACCCCAGCCTACTCCATTAAACACACCCCTCCACACCCACCAAACACACCCCACCACACCCACCAAACACACCCCTCCACAGCCACCAAACACAGCCCAACTTACAACCAACTGTTGAAGGTGATTATGACGGATGTGCCTAAAGTTGTTGGCTGGGGTTGGTGCAGGTATAAAAGAGCCTGCTACATTAAACACACCCCTCCACACCCACTAAACACACCCCACCACACCCACCAAACACAGCCCAACTTACAACCAACTGTTGAGGATGATCATGACGGATGTGCCTAAAGTTGTTGGCTGGGGTTGGTGCAGGTATAAAAGAGCCTGCTCCATTAAACACACCCCTCCACACCCACCAAACACACCCCTCCACACCCACTAAACACACCCCTCCACACCCACTAAACACAGCCCAACTTACAACCAACTGTTGAAGATGGTCATGACGGATGTGCCTAAAGTTGTTGGCTGGGGTTGGTGCAGGTATAAATGAGCCGCCCGTATCTTTTGTTTGGACGACACTTTGACGCAGCTTTGTGGCAACTGTCCTTTTCCTGCCATAGACAGGCCTCGCTTCTCTAGAGAGAGCAAAATAGTCCTTTAACCATGATATTAACAGAAGATTTAACTGTTCAAAAGTTAGCCACCTGTGTACTTAAAATTTTAAAAATAATACAAAATCCAAAGGAAATATGATACTTGTCTAACTTCAGGCAAATGTAAAAATAATTTTTTAATAAAAAAATTTCAGAAATCCACCCAGTTTCAAGCATATCTAGATTCTAAATAAATGGTTAGTGGATGGTGTGGTGGAATAGTAGAGCAATTGGCTGCTAGACCCAAGGTCTTGAGTTTGGACCTCGGTTTGGACTAGTGATTGTAGAATGTCCTTGAGTCCACTCAGCTCTGATGAGTACCTGACTTACTTTACAAAAACAAAGGTGGCTGGGTATATTGCTCACCACATTATCCCCTTGTAAGCCAGTCATTGAAACAGATGAACCTTATCTGCCCCATGTGCTTTGGGCATGAACGGGAGAAGATGATGATAAAATAAATGGCATAAACTGAGAATGTTTTGCCAGAACAAATCATGCAGCCATAAAAAACTGACCTGGCGTGGTACAAATCAAACAGCCATAAAAAAGTGACCTGGCGTGGTACAAATCAAAAACTGACCTGGCGTGGTACAAATCAAACAGCCATAAAAAAGTGACCTGGCGTGGTACAAATCAAACAGCCATAAAAAAGTGACCTGGCGTGGTACAAATCAAACAGCCATAAAAAAGTGACCTGGCGTGGTACAAATCAAGCAGCCATAAAAAAGTGACCTGGCGTGGTACAAATCAAACAGCCATAAAAAACTGACCTGGCGTGGTACAAATCAAGCTGCCATAAAAAACTGACCTGGCGTGGTACGAGTACATGGGCTTGATGAGGAAGAGACCAGACTCCTGCTCAATGTTGTCCAGTGTGTCCATCAGCAGGTTGGCCAGCTTGAGCCTCTCTAGTCCCATCTCATCCATCTTCTTGGCCCACTGCTTGGCTCTCTGATGGCAAAAAATGGTTTAGTCCAGGTGCTAACTTTGGTTACATTTCTATCTGGTGTTTGTTTAAAAACTCTTCTTTATCATAAAAATGGTTTAGTCCAGGTGTTTACTTTGGTTACATTTCTATCTAAAAACTCTTCTTCATCATAAAAAATTGTTCATATGCTAACTTTGATTACATTTGTAGTTTCCATTGAATTACTTTTCTATAAGTTAGTTTAAAGTGTGAATTTTTAAAACGTTGAATACTGTTCATGATAATCAAACAAACACACCTGGTTTTACAATATAATAATATGTATCCTGTCCTACTTGTAGTTATATTATAAATAACAATTCAAAACAACATCCTATGAATTAACTGTGTTAATGAACAATGTAAAGTAGCAAGAGTATTGTCCATGGAAGAATGAAAAGCCTCACCTTGTTCTGTAAATTCTCCATCTTGTTGAGGACTTGATAGACCTCACCATCTATGCTGCTGCTGTTCTTGACTTTCTCTAAACAACACAACCACACATCTAATCAACAGCATATCCATCTTCACATATTTTTTTTTTTTTTTTTTTTTTTATAAATGCTGGGAGAGGCTACCCTAACTTACTTATCTAAGTCCTAACCCTTGCCCCTGCTGCCAAAGGTGTGGTGAGATGCCCAGTACGCATCATTATAATACCAAGGTTTAGTGTTCAATGAACAAAATAAATTTGGGCTCAAGGAAAACAAGTAGCAGTACAAAATTTGATCTTCTTGAAGTCAAATCACATCAGTTTAAAACCTGATCCAATATTCTAAAAACATACCTTCAATTTCTTTCATTCTCATATGATGGACATATTTTTGTACAAGATGTACAAATCGCTGAGCTGGAAGGCTTACATATTCATCCATACGAGAAACGGCTTCCTATTAGAAATAAAAGGTTTCAAATATTCATCCTGAATAAAATATTATAGCTCAATCCTGTAGCCTCAACATTACTGCCTACATCTAGTCCTAAATATGGGACGACATGATTGAATGGTAGGGCGTTTGGTCGCTAGCCGAAATGTCTTGATTTGGGTCTTAGTTTTGACTTATGACTGTACAATGTCTCTGAGTCATCCAAGCTCTGACTGGTACCTGACTTAGGTTGGGGAAAGTAAATGCGGCTGGGCATAGTGCTGACCAAACTAAACCTTCATTTGCTAAGATCACAGAAACAGGCGAACTCTACTCCACTTGCCCCACGGACTGTCAGGTTTGAAGAGGGAACTTTATCTTTAATCTGCCCCATGATCGCTAGGCTTGAAGAACTTAACTAGTCCTGAATGTTGTGTGATACAAAGCAGTGAATATGACTAATAAATATATTTAAAAGCTAAGCAGCTAAACAGACCATGTAAAAACAAGCAAAATTACACACCCAAGCATGTTCACACAAGGAGGACAATCGTTTGTAACATAAAACTTTGTTGTCATCATGTTTTTAATGTAGTCCTGTATGATTAGCATGAATGAACTATACAAAAAGTTTAACACTGGTGTTTTTGGGTGCACAAAGTTTTGCTGGTAGGATGTGTAAATTGGGACAGATTGGTGTGCAAATTGAGTCAGACTGGTTTGGACAGTTCAAGCAATGTGGTCACCTTGTATTTCTCAGGGTCCAGTTTATCAGTCATGACAGCCTTCTTCATGATCTTGGCATTTCTCTCAGAGTCAAGTCTGGTGAACATGACAGAGGCTTCAGGAGATGGAGACTTGTGGTACACCTGCTTGACAAATGGGAGAACACAGTCATTAGAACTTCTATTGCTACAAATACATTCATTAGCCCTTCTATTGCTACAAACACAATCACCAGCCCCTCTATTACTACAAACACAATCATTAGCCCCTCTATTAATATAATCATTAGATCTCTATTACCACAAACACAATCATTAGCCCCTCTATTACTACAAACACAATCACTAGTCCCTCTATTACTACAAACACAATCACTAGTCCCTCTATTACTACAAACACAATCATTAGCCCCTTTATTGCCACAAAGGTTTACATTAGCTCCTCTAAGGAGACTTAAATTAGCCTCTCTAAGTAAGAAGACTTACATTAGCCCCTCTAAGTAAGAAGAGTTACATTAGCCCCTCTAAGTAAGAAGAGTTACATTAGCCCCTCTAAGTAAGAATTAAATTAGCCTCTCTAAGTAAGAAGACTTACATTAGCCCCTCTAAGAGACTTACATTAGCCCCTCTAAGTAAGAAGACTTACATTAGCCCCTCTAAGTAAGAAGACTTACATTAGCCCCTCTAAGTAAGAAGACTTACATTAGCCACTCTAAGTAAGAAGACTTACATTAGCCCCTCTAAGTAAGAAGACTTACATTAGCCCTCTAACAAGATTTACACTAGCCCTCTAACAAGATGTACATTAGCCCCAGTAAGGAGACTTACATTAGCCCCTCTGCCATTAGACAAGGCAGACTTAGTTCTCATGGGAGACTTTTCAAGGGAAGACAACTCTCTCTGAAGATCATTTATTGTTTCCTGCATCTCCATCATGACCACAGTGTTGTGCCTGGATATTTAGTTTGACCACTCATACACAAGGCTACACTATTTAGTTTGACCACTCATACACAAGGCTACACTAATTAGTTTGACCACTCATACACAAGGCTACACTAATTAGTTTGACCACTCATACACAAGGCTACACTAATTAGTTTGACCACTCATACACAAGGCTACACTAATTAGTTTGACCACTCATACACAAGGCTACACTAATTAGTTTGACCACTCATACACAAGGCTACACTAATTAGTTTGACCACTCATACACCGTTCAACAAAGGCTACACTAATAAAATTCTTTAAACTCAATGTTTAAAAAAAGGTAGCTAAGTAAACTTACTGTATCTGTTCCTGATGATTTCTGCGATCCTCTTCAAGCTGTTGTTGCCTAAATTGTATTTAGAGTAACATGTGTTAAAGAAAGAATTTAAAAAATCAAAGCATCCTTAAAGTTAAACATTTCTAGAGGCTCTGGATAGTTGCAGGCACTTTCCTCAATGTATAAATGTTCACTGTAATGTTCTACAGCGTAGTTGGGTAGTACAGCGCCTGATGTTTACGAACACGGGAAACCATTTCACATAATCAACTTTCTTTGTTTCATAATTTCGGCCAGCATAATTGGGATATTTAAAACTCGATTACTACAGACCATAAATGAGTTTGTGTGGTTTGTTGTCTCATGATGGATAAACTTTGCAATGAAATAAGTTAAGTGGTTTAATTTAAAATTTTGTGAGACAGTTTACTTATATATATATATATATATTTATATATATATAATATATATACATATATATTAATATTTATTTATATATTATACATATAATTTGGGGTTCAGAAAAAAATTGGGGGGGGCGCACACTTTTTAATAAGTTTTGCCTAGGGCACCGGCACTGCCTACACCATCTGAAAACTATGCATATCTTACACCATATGAAAGTAATGCATATCTTACAGCTGCATGTACTGGTCCTGAAGCTCCTTGATGTGGAGCTGGTCTGACAAGTTGCTGGTCTGCAGGGAGACAACTGAGCTGTCTTTGGGCAGGGAGGGGGACAACTCCTGGTCCTGGGAAAATTCATTTGGTGGTTGCTGGGTTGTCTCCCTTGAGAAGGCATTCAGTGCTGAAACAGGGGGCTCCTGGAGATGAGACAAAAAGGTTGGTACAAGATGTTGGACACAGGTTATATGGGACCAACCTTGTGAGGAAGTTAATTAATTAGACTAGATGTATCAGGGGAGACTAAGATGTTTTCTACTTGGCTTGACATTCCACATGTATCAATAGTGACATGGATGATCTTTTTTTTATCATCAGAAACAGAAACATATTGTACAACCTCACATGAAAAATTCTCAAAAGACAAAAATGTGGGAAGAGAATAGAAACAGACCATCTAAAATAACAAAACTTGTACCTACCCTCTCAAACACAAGTACACTGTTTACAAGGGAGCTAACTTCCTCCAAAACTGTAAAGAAAAACATTGAAAGTATTTCATGAGGTTTTATATAACATCTACTGTTTTTACTCTAAAGGACTTCATTAGAAAACAATGATGATAGTAGAGAACAGTAGTGACACACTGACATTGGTGAGTAGTGGTGACACAGGTTGGTAGTGAGAGTGGTGACATGCCATTAGAGACAGTGGCGATGCAGGATAGTGGTGTTAATGATGGTGACACAGTAGTGAATTTACCATAGAGAACATTTTGAGTGAGTTCCTCTATCTGTGGCATGGCTTTTTTAGTTCGGTCAAAGGTCACAGCCTCAAGGTCAGACATCATCTGGTGAGCTGACATATAATCTAAAACACAAGACACTGACATAAAAACCATATCATAGGACACTGACATAGTCCATAATCCATAAGCACTGACATGTAATCAAATGTGTTAAAGTGTGAACCAAAAGGTAACCACAAGATCAAGTATAAAATAAAACTCCTGAGAAATACAGCAGGCTGTAGTCAAGGTTTATGCTACCATAACTACCCAACCCTTGTCATGTGAATCTGGCATTAGAAAATTGATCTGCTACCCTATAAGAACTAAGACAAATTGATCTGCTACCCCATTGCTATAAGAACTAACACATTGTCACAACAGCTCACCTTTATCTAGGAAAATTTTCCCCACAGCATCTTTAAAGCCTAGGACACCATCATAGACCTTGAGGTACTCTTTCAACAGGGGGTGTTCTAGTAGTGAGATACCTTTCCTGTGGTGGAGGGGGAGAGGAAGTAAATCAGTTGATGAACAAAGGGACTTTGTTTAAAAACTTGAGCTGACTAGAGTCTGTGACTTACGTAATTATCTTCTGGACTCTCTGGGCAGAGAGAAGTTTCTGGATGCCGGATGGATCCTTGGATTCTTGGTTGGGTAGGCTGGATAGACGGGATACACTTTTGTGTTCTGGTAGGGGTGAGGTGCTTGTGTCAATCACTGATGAGTCTGGGGGATAGAAAACATGACATAATGTTATACTGGGGATAGAAAACAAGACGTAATGTTATGTTGGGGATAGAAAACATCACGTCATGTTATGTTAGAAAACATGACATAATTTTATATTAGGGATAGAAAACATGACATACTGTTATGTTGGGGATAGAAACCATGACGTAATGTCAGTGGCGTAGCGAGGACTGGTGTCACCCAGAGCGGCACTTAATGGTGTCACCCCCCAGAGGCGTAGCAACCTTTCCCAGGGACAAACTTTTTAAATTTTTGATTTGCAACCCCCCCCCCCCCTCAAATTTCTCTATATATATTGTGCTATTTTTTTGCCTTGGTGTCACCCCCTAAATGGTGTCACCCGGTGCTGTCCGCACCCCCCCCTGGCTACGCCTATGTGTAATGTTATGTTGGGGATAGAAAACCTGTTTGTTTAAACCATCAAGTGCTTAAACGCTAAATCTTTGTATGAACTGAGTTTCCAACTTCAGCCAGTTTTTTTAAGTATGACAGTATTGGAGAGTGGTCAGACAAAAGTCTGTTTTAATATTGTGTTTGGTTTCTTTACAGTGATTAGCCACAGGAAGACTGTTATAATTTTTATAGTGAGTGTTTCATGTTGGCACAAAGAGTGTATGATGGACAGCTAACAAAAAACATTACAAATAATACATGCTTAAGAATTGCTTTATCATCAACTGTTTCAAAGAAAATATTTGAAGCATTCTTTTTTGATTGTCAGATTGGCCAAACTTTAGATACCTCAGGCATAAAACAAACATCTAACTCACCACCAAATTCATCGTCCTCTTCCTCATCAAGTATCAGGCATAAAACAAACATCTAACTCACCACCAAATTCATCGTCCTCTTCCTCTTCAAGTATCAGGCATAAAACAAACATCTAACTCACCACCAAATTCATCGTCCTCTTCCTCTTCAAGTATCAGGCATAAAACAAACATCTAACTCACCAGCAAATTCATCGTCTTCCTCCTCTTCAAGTATCAGGCATAAAACAAACATCTAACTCACCAGCAAATTCATCGTCTTCCTCCTCTTCAAGTATCAGGCATAAAACAAACATCTAACTCACCAGCAAATTCATCGTCTTCCTCCTCTTCAAGTATCAGGCATAAAACAAACATCTAACTCACCAGCAAATTCATCGTCTTCCTCCTCTTCAAGTATCAGGCATAAAACAAACATCTAACTCACCAGCAAATTCATCGTCTTCCTCCTCTTCAAGTATCAGGCATAAAACAAACATCTAACTCACCAGCAAATTCATCGTCTTCCTCCTCTTCAAGTATCAGGCATAAAACAAACATCTAACTCACCACCAAATTCATCATCCTCTTCCTCTTCAAGTATCAGGCATAAAACAAACATCTAACTCACCAGTAAATTCATCGTCCTCTTCCTCTTCAAGTATCAGGCATAAAACAAACATCTAACTCACCAGCTAATTCATCGTCTTCTTCCTCTTCAAGTATCAGGCATAAAACAAACATCTAACTCACCAGTAAATTCATCGTCCTCTTCCTCTTCAAGTATCAGGCATAAAACAAACATCTAACTCACCAGCAAATTCATCGTCTTCTTCCTCTTCAAGTATCAGGCATAAAACAAACATCTAACTCACCAGCAAATTCATCGTCTTCTTCCTCTTCAAGTATCAGGCGTAAAACAAACATCTAACTCACCAGTAAATTCATCGTCCTCTTCCTCTTCAAGTATCAGGCATAAAACAAACATCTAACTCACCAGCAAATTCACCGTCCTCTTCCTCTTCAAGTATCAGGCATAAAACAAACATCTAACTCACCACCAAATTCATCATCCTCTTCCTCTTCAAGTATCAGGCATAAAACAAACATCTAACTCACCACCAAATTCATCATCCTCTTCCTCTTCAAGTATCAGGTCATCATCAATGGTGATCTGTGTAGTCAGCTGGATGGCTGGTGATTTGGACCTGCGATCTTCTGCTGCAAGTTTGGCCTCTCCTAGTTTCACCTGAAACATGACAATTGTGGTGCATTTGTTTCTATCTTGTACTGTTCTACTGGTTTTAATATATTTACCCTCTACTGTTCACATGGTTATCCCCACTGTACGTTATCTCTACCTTGTACTGGTGTACAAGTTATCCCTACCTTGTACTGGTGTACAAGTTATCTCCACCTTGTACTAGTGTACAAGTTACCTCCACCTGTACTGGCGTATATGTTATTCCTACCTTGTACTGGTCTACAAGTTATCCCTATCTTGTACTGGTGCACAAGTTATCCCTACCTTGTACAGGTGTACAAAGTTATCCCTACCTTGTACTGGTGCACAAGTTATCCCTACCTTGTACTGGTGTACAAGTTATCCCTACCTTGTACTGGTGCCTGAGAGATGCCCTGCTCTGTGCTGAAGATGCCCTAATTTCCTCCTCTGTTGTGCCATCCACAAGTTATCCCTACCTTGTACAGGTGTACAAAGTTATCCCTACCTTGTACTGGTGCACAAGTTATCCCTACCTTGTACTGGTGTACAAGTTATCCCTACCTTGTACTGGTGCCTGAGAGATGCCCTGCTCTGTGCTGAAGATGCCCTAATTTCCTCCTCTGTTGTGCCATCCACAAGTTATCCCTACCTTGTACAGGTGTACAAAGTTATCCCTACCTTGTACTGGTGCACAAGTTATCCCTACCGTGTACTGGCATACAACTTATCCCTACCTTGTACTGGCATACAAGTTATCCCTACCTTGTACTGGTGCACAAGTTATCCCTACCTTGTACTGGTGCACAAGTTATCCCTACCTTGTACTGGTGCCTGAGTGATGCCCTGCTCTGTGCTGAAGATGCCCTAATTTCCTCCTCTGTTGTGCCATCCACAAGTTATCCCTACCTTGTACAGGTGTACAAAGTTATCCCTACCTTGTACTGGTGCACAAGTTATCCCTACCTTGTACTGGTGTACAAGTTATCCCTACCTTGTACTGGTGCCTGAGTGATGCCCTGCTCTGTGCTGAAGATGCCCTAATTTCCTCCTCTGTTGTGCCATCCACTTTAGAAACTTCCACAGATGACAGGGACTGGGGACCAAGCAAGCAGTTCTATAGTTAGACACAAATACTACATACATACACACACAGACATAGGTCATAACAGCACAATTTGATGCTTAATTTAATACAGCTGTTTAATTGTTAGAAATTCAATACAAATAATTTGCCGTTTCACTTTAGTGATACTGAAAATGTCTGCTGTCAAAGATGGAATAAATCTTTTATGTTATTGAAATGCATTCATTAATTCTAATAAATTTTAACAGTTATAATTGAGATGTTTTTGGCAACTAATTACAGCAAATAGAATTAAGTGCAAACAGTAAATTGCTCTACGAAGAAGATTAGTTTAAATTAGTTTTAAAACATGTATTAGTTTTAATCAGTGTGTAAACAAGTGAGAAAGGTTTACAGACAGTAGCTATGTACATGTTAGTTTAGATATCACAATGTAAATATAGAATATGTCAAACACAGGCAAGATATATATCATTTAAATAAAACATGCAATGGATGCTAATGTAGGTGGGGGTAAATATTTTCCATGACTGAAATACTTCCTGATTTTAAAAAAATGTCCTTATTTGCCTATCATTAATACATAAACAATTTTTTTTAAAATTTAGACTTTTAATATAATAGTAGCTTCTGAACACAGGTTTGCATTTGTGAAAAATTATCAAAACTTTTAGGTATAGAAAATAATATAGCCAAATTCACAACACCTATTTTGTTTCAATTATAAAAGTGTATTAGCTACATAAAATCATGTAGAATGTTTTGATTCACTGGATGTTTTAGTAAACATTATAGGGTGCAACTGAATGAGTATGTTAATTTGTTAATCAACAATGTGACTAAAATGTGCTAACAACTCCATATAACTAAACAACAAGTTCATCTAAACTTGCTGTATACAGTGGGCTATCAATTTTAGCTGAGAACATTATCACACAATATGTTAATCTGATATACATGATATTTAGGAATAGATGAGGGGAAGTAATACATTGTGTCACACAGCATGCAGGTTACATGGGATGAACTGAGCAGATACAGGGAGGCAACCTGAGAACACAGCAGAGTAAACCAGTTGTCTACCTTAGCCAGTCTGGCCCTTAGCTTCCCTGTGTGGCCGCCAGCGGATGTTTGTTTCACAGAGTCCAAGGATGGAGTACGGTCAGACATATCTGAAACTGTGTCCCTCAGAGGGTCAAATTCACCCAGAGTTGAGTCCCTGTCAATGCTCTCTTTATCAACTATCTTCAAAGATTCTCTCCTGTCTTTGACGGGACTAAAGCTTACAGCAGAATTATCTTTACTGTGACTTAACTGTGAACCTAGTGCTTCATGTTTGTCTTCAGGTGAATTTTCTCTGGCTAATACATCTGTACTGTCAGACTTTACTGCCAATGTGGCAGGGTCAAGGTCAACAAGTTCTGTTGCTGGCTGGTCCATACTTTCAACTACAGATTCTAGAACAGGCTCAGGAAGATTAATTAATCCAGGTGAAGCAGAGTTGTCATAAGTCTGCTCAGAAATATTCAACAATGGAAGCTCAGTGAATGAACCCTGTGCTGATGTGTCCTGCTCAGATGAATTGACCTGCTGTAATATGGGAGGTTAGTTGACTTAAGTCATTTGCCCTAACCTGCTGTAATATGGGAAGTTGACTTAAGTCATGTGCCCTAACCTGCTGTAATATGGGAGGTTAGTTGACTTAAGTCATGTACCCTAACCTGCTGTAATATGGGAGGTTAGTTGACTTAAGTCATGTGCCCTAACCTGGTGTAATATGGGAGGTTAGTTGACTTAAGTCATGTGCCCTAACCTGCTGTAATATGGGAGGTTAGTTGACTTAAGTCATGTACCTAAACCTGCTGTAATATGGGAGATTAGTTGACTTAAGTCATGTGCCCTAATCTGCTGAAATATGGAAGGTAGTTGACTTAAGTCATATACCTAAACCTGCTGTAATATGGGAAGTTAGTTGACTTAAGTCATGTACCCTAACCTGCTTTAATATGGGAGGTTAGTTGACTTAAGTCATGTGCCCTAACCTGCTTTAATATGGGAGGTTAGTTGACTTAAGTCGTGTACCTAAACCTGCTGTAATATGGGAAGTTAGTTGACTTAAGTCATGTACCCTAACCTGCTGTAATATGGGAAGTTAGTTGACTTAAGTCATGTACCCTTATCCTAACCAGCTATAATATGGGAGGTTAGTTGACTTAAGTCATGTACCCTTATCCTAACCAGCTATAATATGGGAGGTTAGTTGACTTAAGTCGTGTACCCTAATCTAAAAATTAAGAAAATGAAGAAAGTAGCTAAGCATTTCTAGGTAGTTAAAAAATATTTTAATTATAAGCTAAGAAAATTGATGTTAACTTTTTAATGTGATAGATAAATCAGAACTAAATTAGAAAATTAATGTTAACTTTTTACTATGATAGATAAATATAAATGAGAAAATAATTGTATAAGTAAAGTATTGCAAAGATTATTGTCAGAAGTGAAACCTTTAATTTTGTTCTACTTGCAAATACAGAAATAAGAAAAAAAACAAGTTGAGCGTTGTTGGATGCAAATATCTAAAACATACGTAACCCATCATTAAATGTCTATAAATTAACTACTGTAATATAGGTATCTCACACACATGCAAATCTTTATGATATGACCCTTCACAAAGTGGACACATGCTTATCGTGTAAAATTCTTTTATTCCTAAAGTGGACACATGCTTATCATGTAAAATTCTTTCATTCCTGAAGTGGACACATGCTTATCATGTAAAATTCTTTCATTCCTAAAGTGGACACATGCTTATCATGTAAAATTCTTTCATTCCTGAAGTGGACACATGCTTATCATGTAAAATGTTTTCATTCCTAAAGTGGACTCATGCTAGTCACTATAAAATCTTGCACAAAGTGGGCATCACATGCTATAAAATCAAACATGAGCTTGAAAGACAAAACCTGTATTTAAAGTGAGCACTAAAATTAAAATAGAATTTAAAAAAGTAAGGCAAGACAATGTGTCCAGCTCTGTGATGGAACATGGCACAACTCACCTGAGATTTGAGAGCATTGGGAGAGTCCACATCAAGAGTAGGGGGGGCAGACACACATGTGCCTAGCCGGGCGTTCATCTCTCGCACCTTATTGCCATGACCAACAAAAAATTACAAACTAGAAATGGCTAGGCAGCTAGGTGTAAATACAAAGGCAGCTAAGTGTAAATAAACACAAATTAAAACCATTGAAAGCTGGCTAGTAAAACGTCATTGGCTGATGTATGGATGAAATAAGTAAAGGTACGCTTATCTATACTATAAGTGTCAGGTATAACTAAAGAAGGTAGACCAATAAATTTTTACTTGAATAAAAAAGATATTGAACTCCGGTTGAAAAAATATCTGCAATATTTGAGTTATTTAATTATTGTTGTAAAAAATAAACCATTTATTCGCCCAACTGTTTTATAGATATTAGAAAGAGCATTAATTCAACCAATTTTTATCTTTAAAAAATGTTCTCTCTCTTTCAAAATGTAAAAGAAAATTCCTAACATTTATCGTCAAATCTTTCCCCTAAAACACCATGTTCTGGTAGTAAAAAATGGTCCAGTGTACTAAGTCAAGCAGCACAAAAAATTCTGATCTGACAAAACTGAACGCATTTGACGACTCTTCAAATCTAGTCTTGCAATGTAGCTAACATGTCTAAAATGTGACGCATATAAAAAAGAAAAGACTGAATAAACTATGTAATGCGCTCAGATTTCACAACAGTTGAGGTCTCTCTAAGTCCACTACAAATTTACACAACAAATTTTGTAACATGCTTGCTTGTATACTTTTAAAAATTTATTATGTGTTTTTTATCAGTACTTTCTACAATCTACAAAAAACATTCTGGAAAACATTTAACTACTTCATTACATTATTATAACAAATTTTACTTTAGGTTTTGTTGAAGAATAAAGACTGATATATAGCGGTTCAGTTTTTAATTCTTTTTTGTTTTGTAATAAATTTCATAAACTCATACATTCTTGTGTTTTATTGTTTTTGGTTCTTGTACTGATTGGAGTCTAGCAGAACTTCCATTATAAAATGACAATGGTGACTAGACCAAATCTACAAGGATGATGAAGGCTAACCACTGGTCAACTAAATTAAATCTACAATGGTGATGTAGGCTACCACTGGTCAACTAAATTAAATCTACAATGGTGATTAGATGGGCCAACTAAAACTAAATCTGTGTTGTTGACTGGGCCAACTAAATCTGTGATGTTGACTGGGCCAACTAAAATTACATTTGTGATGTTGACTAGGCCAACTAAAACTAAATCTCTGATGTTGACTGGGCCAACTAAAACTAAATCTGTGATGTTGACTGGCCCAACTAAAATTACATTTGTGATGTTGACTGGGCCAACTAAATCTGTGATGTTGACTGGGCTTACTACAACCAAATCTCTGATGTTGTCTGGGCCAACTAAAACTAAATCTAGTACCTTGGCATCATCTGTCTGTTGCATCAGCCTCAGGAGCTCTTGCTCAGAGTCAGGGTTCAAGGTGGTGCTGGAGGATGTCTTGGGGGAGCCTGGTGTCTGGACAGTGGTCATCTGGACAGGACTGGCACTGTCCTGCAGGCTGGCACCAGTCTGTATGTCTTTACGCTTGCTTTCTTCTTCATATTCCTGTTGGAGCAATGTGAAGTTGTTATTGGCGGCAGCATTCCACGGTTAAAATAATAATATAACAACATGAGAATTCATTGACAAATATAAAAGAACAAACAGTAGTTTACAAAAGATAAGATTTTTAAAATTTAGACAATTGATTAGAAATGTAAAAATGAGACTAAAGTAAAAACAGGATAAGTTAAAATGAAGAGGCTTGGAATAAAAAATCCAACACTCCTATACTAATTAAAGTAAATCTACAATAAATAAAACAATAAAAATAAAGCAAACCTACAATTTTTTCTTGCTCAGTGATGAATTCTTCCAGTTGATTCAGTGCAGCATCAGCCTCCTTCTCTGCATCTTTCTGTAGCCTGAGAGTCTGGTCCACCTGCTCTATTAAAACCTTTCTTTCCTGAAAACAGTTGGACAGTTTTTGTTATAATGGAACAAATGCTTCCAAAGACAATTTAGACTTTTCTATAATACTTTTTAATTGATACAAAGATTTTAATCATTCGGTAGTTTCTCTAGGTCCCAGAAAAATGTGACATGAAAAAATGTCACCAAAAACTGCAAAAAGTGAAAATTAAGCCAATACTAACTCCTAATGTTTAACTATTTTCTTTGGCCACATTTTGCAAAAACATTTTATTTTACTTCAATGTAAGCTACATGTAGTCTTTCTTTTCTAAATTATCAATTTAACAAAAAATACCATTGAGCACTTTGTTGTGTGCAGTTTTCAGTTGCACATTTTTAGTGCGCATTTTTCTGGTCACCAGTTTCTCCAAACAAGTATAATATTATTTTTAGAAGCATTAAATCAAATGTATACACGTGTTAATGAATCAATTAATATAGAATGAACTCCCACTTTATGTATCAAGATTTGGTAGCGTGAGTTTTTTAAGTAAGTAACTTGCAGCATCCCATTTGTAGTTGCCATAGTTGCATGTACTTACAGCATCCCATTTGTAGCAAGCTAAATATATGCCATGGTTGCATGTACTTACAGCATCCTATCTGTAGTAAGCTAAATAAATGCCATGGTTGCATGTACTTACAGCATCCCATTTGTAGCAAGCTAAATAAATGCCATGGTTGCATGTACTTACAGCATCCCATCTGTAGTAAGCTAAATAAATGCCATGGTTGCATGTACTTACAGCATCCCATTTGTAGTTGCCATAGTTGCATGTACTTACAGCATCCCATTTGTAGCAAGCTAAATATATGCCATGGTTGCATGTACTTACAGCATCCCATTTGTAGCAAGCTAAATATATGCCATGGTTGCATGTACTTACAGCATCCCATTTGGTCTTGTGTTGTTGAAACTGGTCCTTGAGTGTGGCCACCTTACGTTTAGTTTTGGCTGTGGTCAACTGAAGCTGCTCTTCTAAATCCTGGATCTTGGTGGTCGTCTATGTAAACATTACCAGCAAAACAAAAATCAGTTTTAAAAAAATCATTTGCAAAGATACAATGACAAAGTGAGATACATTTAAAAAAAAAATTGTTGGGGTGTGTGTGTGTGTGTTATAAAGGGGGTAGTATAAAGATATAAAACATTTTCAAAACCTTATAAAAATGTTTTAGTAGTGCTTATCTTAAAAATACTAAGAGTTTACTTGCTAAACAAATATATATTTGAACTTAAAACAAAGTTTCAGGTGTAAAATCTATGCAACAGATCATGTCATGGCCAACTAAGATAAAAACGTAATGACATACTAGCTTTCTGTATTGAGCAAACTTGTCACTTATTTGATCTGTTGGTATAGAATTCTGAAAAAGTTAAAACTTCAATCATAAGGAACAGAACTTAATTTAAAACAACATTGAACAATAAACAAGAAATAGTACTGTACTTCCATTCAATGATGTACCTACATTATTATCCAATTTTTTTCAACAAAGCAGCAGCACTAACTCTAGATTACAACTCACCCAGTGATCTTCATCAAACAAGTCTAGACCTCCACCTGACCCATCCTTTAGGGATTACAACTCACCCAGTGATCTTCATCAAACAAGTCTAGACCTCCACCTGAAGTCTAGACCTCCACCTGAAGTCTAGACCTCCACCTGAAGTCTAGACCTCCACCTGAAGTCTAGACCTCCACCTGACCCATCCTTTAGGGATTAAAACTCACCCAGTGATCTTCATCAAACAAGTCTAGACCTCCACCTGACCCATCCTTTAGGGATTACAACTCACCCAGTGATCTTCATCAAACAAGACTAGACCTGACCCATCCTTTAGGGATTACAACTCACCCAATGATCTTCATCAAACAAGTCTAGACCTCCAACTGAACCATCCTTTAGGGATTACAACTCACCCAGTGACCTTCATCAAACAAGTCTAGACCTCCACCTGAAGTCTAGACCTCCACCTGACCCATCCTTTAGGGATTACAACTCACCCAGTGACCTTCATCAAACAAGTCTAGACCTCCACCTGACCCATCCTTTAGGGATTACAACTCACCCAATGATCTTCATCAAACAAGTCTAGACCTCCACCTGACCCATCCTTTAGGGATTACAACTCACCCAATGATCTTCATCAAACAAGTCTAGACCTCCACCTGACCCATCCTTTAGGGATGCTCTCTGCTTCTTGCTGAGCTGTATCCGACCCTTCTCATCCACCATGGCAGTATCCGGATTGCCACCTTCATCTTGAATTGCAATTTCAGCAAATTCTTTTTCTAAACATAATTTGCAAAGAGCATACTTTAATCAGCTACAATGAAACATACACATTTACAATTCCATAAAACAAATCTAATCCATCATTTAAGACAAAGGGCTATTAATGCTTCTATAATCTGGTTTTAATAATTAGTCCAACTCATGATGCAAGCATATCTAGCATAAAACAGTACTTGTTGGCCAGCAACAGATGTTCAAACTGACCTGGTTTTGACCCATGACTGTTCTGTTTGGTCTGTAACAAAGAGAGTCAGTTATTATGTAACTGGTTATAGAATCCAATCATGTATAACATGTTATAGAATTCAATTATGTATAACTGGTTATAGAATCCAATTATGTATAACTGGTTATAGAATTCAATTCTGTATAACTGGTTATAGAATCCAATTATGTATAACAGGTTATAGAATCCAATTATGTATAACTGGTTATAGAATTCAATTCTGTATAACTGGTTATAGAATCCAATTATGTATAACAGGTTATAGAATCCAATTATGTATAACTGGTTATAGAATTCAATTCTGTATAACTGGTTATAGAATCCAATTATGTATAACAGGTTATAGAATCCAATTATGTATAACTGCATTTTTATTACTTATATAAAACATATGAGATATAATCCTTCCCTAAGTATTCAATGACCAAGTACATTTGTTTTAATGCATTTCAATGAGGGCCAAAACTATCTCAGTTATTTGTCCAAAATAGGAGTTTGGAATCAAATGAAATAATATTGGTGCTCAGTTTAAACTACATATTAGAAGAGAATGGATGCTATCCTCAATTTGATTTGAAAAGTCAATATTAAGTCTACCCTTAAATATTTATTTATCATGAATTAACTTAAGGACTAGAAAAGTCTACTGTTTGTTAATTTTGAAAATATTTATTTTATTCATACCTCGCTTTTACTCTTGCTTGGTGATTTTATTATTTTTCCTTGGTTCTTATCACTAATGGTTCGAGATTTGCCTGTAGCTTTCGTCTCTGACTCCGCTTGGCTTTCCTGATAAAAAGAAAACAAAAGAGTGCGCTATAAATCAATGTTGGCCACATTTCTTCTGGTGCTTCTAGTATAGATCTTTAGTAATTTTATTGAGGTAAATGGCATGCTAATTGCAGAGGTTAAAATGAAATATAAAAAATACCAATAGTAAGTTCTACAGCATGATGCATTTCTTTTTGTATTTGGTGAAGTATTTGGAAAGGTCACTGCCCAAACAATAACCATAACTTTTAACCATAACCTTCTATCTTTATCCTGAAAAAGTGATGCTCTATCCCTGAGTAACAGCTGTGCAGGTGAGGGGTGGGGGGGGGGGGGGGGAGATATAGATAGTGACACTGCAAGTGTTTTATTATTATATCTAGATCTATCTGTTATACCTTTGTCTAGATCTCTAAATAATTAATTATAATACCTAATTTACTGTATTTCTAAGGCAGCATTTTTATTAGCTGAAAGGACTAGATCTAGAATTCAGGCTAGGCTCTACATATAGAGTTAGGTCTACTCAATCGACTCATGTCTTGTCTTATGGCGGCAGTGTGAAATTATGAATATGAACTAGATCTAGGCCTAGATCTAATATCTTGAATAATCTAGATCTAGAAATCTAGGCTAGATCTATTATGAGCTGTATTCTTAAAAACTAATAACATATTTTTAAAAAGTGCATGATTGCTAGCAAATACAAATAAAGCTAATTAGAATTTTTAAAATTCAATAAGGGGTCGGTCCATAAATGACGTCACACTGGTAGGGGGGAGAAGGGGTCCATAATTTTGGAACAGTGTGTGATGAGGGGGAGGTTTCAGATGGTGTGACATCACAGTTTTGCATTTAAAAAGCAATGTTAGAAAACAAGTTTTAGCCGTTATTTCGCGTTTTAGAAAACGGTTTTAATAAACTGTAAATTGTAATAGAGTCTAGGAATTGTTTAAAACTTGACAACATCTACTATAGATTTATGTTGACAGAGTTCAGACAAGATTTTAGAAAAATTTCGATGCTTTAAGAAAAATTCAAGTGCAATTTTGAGGGGAGTTGTCGGCTAAGTGGGTTTTTGTGACGATGTGTGGCGGAGGGGAAAGTAAAAATCGTCCAAAAAAAGCGTGACGTCATTTAAGGATGATCCCATAGATTCCGTAAATAACTAACTACACACTTTGAGTTCTGACACAAAGCTACACAGAATGAACTACGGTACTACACACCACTAATGACTAGAGCAGTACTAGAGTCTAGATTCTAGATCTAGAAAGTCTAGATCTAGACTAGTAGGCCTGCAGGACGACATCCATTCCAATGGCAATGGGGAAATGGATCTGTCACCAGTTGAAGTGGTAGGCTGGCTACAGAATCTGTGAGTACAGGTAACAGTCTAAAATCTTAAATCAACGTAGATCTAGTATCTATCGACCAATCGGACTAGATATAGAGTCTAGATCATCTAGATCTAACTGCTTTCTCGTCAAACTTAAACTTAAATCTAGATTCTAGATCTAGACTCTAGATCTAGATTCTAGAATATATAGAATAAATCTCGATTCTACTTCTGCTAATGCTTGCCACTACTGGTAGCAGTTTAAAAATTTTCACAGAAAGCCCGGCACTCACTATTGTGCGCGGTGTAACCATAAATAATTACCCTTTTATTATTTTACAATCACACTTTTAAAAATAGCCTACATTACTAGATTCTCAGAATTATAGTACAGTTTACAATATCTGTTTGTTTTTTAAAGAATTCCTTGTCCTAACGCTTTAAAATACAAAGTATACAAAATATGCATTTGGTTATTAAGTTTGCAGTTGTTTTTTTTTAAAAAAGCAATCATAAAATAATGTTAAGTTAAGGTTTAAGCAGTCGTCAAGAAATCCTAGGCTTTAATTAACGAAACACATAGATCTAAAATATAGATTCTAGATCTACCTAATTTCAGCAAAATAAATTTTTGGAAATGACCTGGATAATGAATGTATTTAAAATGTAAAGGAAGGACGTACACTCTGTTGCTCTGGTAATGTTGTTTATTTGTACTTGGTCACAATTTCAAGTTCACGTAGAAGATTAATCATGTGTGGACGGTTTACTTAAACGGTATCACACAGTTTTTGAGGGATTACGGCTAACCAGTATCCATCTCAGGTATCCCAGCCAGTGTAATAAGCATATTATTCTTTCGATTTGAACAAAGGATTTGTTGGTGGCGTAAATTTGCTGCATAAAAAATGCACACAAAATGCATGTCCGACAGGCCACTTCCTTTACTCCCCGGGCCGAATGGAGCCCACCCCTGGCTCCCACACTCTCTGTTATTTATTTGTATCGCTCATCGACAGACAAGAAAAAAAAACCGGAGCGGAAGTCAGCGATGAAATGCCGGTGCTGACTGTTGCTAGGGTTACCAGACGTCTTAAAGTATGTGTCACTTGACATTCAACTCCTGAAAATACTAAGAGTCCGGCTATACATCCGCCATGTATTTATACTAGACAACTTGAGCAGACGACACTGAGCTACGTCAACTTGGTCAACAACAAAGGCCTAGCTTTAGCATAAACCAAAATAAAAAAACGGTTTTAAAACAGCATTTCTACGACATCGATTTTTTGAAATTATGGAACTTTGATTCAATTTAAAGGTAAACAAAATTGTTTTTATATTGTTTAAGTTTAAGTTTTCCTAAACCTTAACAAATCCACCTCTCCCTACCCCTACAACAAACCCAGCTCTCCCTACCCTTATAACAAACCCAGCTCTCCCCACCCCTACAACAAACCCACCTCTCCCCACCCATACAACAACAAACCCACCTCTCCCCACCCCTACAACAAACCCACCTCTCCCCACCCCTACAACAAACCCACCCATCCCCCCTACAACAAATCCACCTCTCCCCACCCCTACAACAAACCCACATCTCCCCACCCCTACAACAAACCCACATCTCCCCACCCCTACAACAAACCCACCTCTCCCCACCACTACAACAAACCCAGCTCTCCCCACCACTACAACAAACCCACCTCTCCCCACCCATACAACAACAAACCCACATCTCTCCACCCCTACAACAAACCCACCTCTCCCCACCACTACAACAAACCCACCTCTCCCCACCACTACAACAAACCCACATCTCTCCACCCCTACAACAAACCCACCTCTCCCCACCACTACAACAAACCCACATCTCTCCACCCCTACAACAAACCCACATCTCCCCACCCCTACAACAAACCCACCTCTCCCCACCCCTACAACAAACCCACCTCTCCCCACCCCTACAACAAACCCACCTCTCCCCACCCCTACAACAAACCCACCTCTCCCCACCCCTACAACAAACCCACCTCTCCCTACCCCTACAACAAACCCACATCTCTCCACCCCTACAACAAACCCACCACTCCCCACCCCTACAGCAACAAAAACAAAAATGACCGCTCACCTAGGGGTCTAAATAACTGAACTAATGGCGCGCAGTGTTTCCTTCAGACTTTTTTTCCGGGGCGAAGGGGTCGGGGGTCGGGGGAGACACTGGTAAAAGTATATATCTGCTATGTAAATTCTATCTTGCGGGGGCAGGGGCGGTATATGTGCTTCATGGGAGGATATCTGAAAGAAAAACTAAAGGCGCGCGCTAACCAGAATTACAGACATGTCATTACGTCACCTAACCGTTTGATCCTGTTGAGAACAACACGTCTGCTAATGTTTCACTACGTCTGCTGTTGTTTCATTACGTCTGCTAATGTTTCATTACGTCTGCTAATGTTTCATTACGTCTGCTAATGTTTCATTACGTCTGCTGTTTCAAAATGTTTTCATTTTTTAGAAACATTGTTTTGCACTTCATTAAGACTAATTGAATTGATTGATTGTTTTACAGATTGCAATGCCGACGGCCTGTGTTTAACAATACACAAGTAGAAATAGGTGGTCTCTATACACAACTAGACATTTTTTTAAAGAACGTTTTAAATATTTCTGTACATTTGTGATTAACACACGTCCTTTATAAGTTACCCAAAGCCTGGGTTTATAGCGTAAATGTTGTATAAGGACGGTGTTGTGTATGTTGTATAAGGACGGTGTTGTGTATGTTGTATAAGGACGGTGTTGTGTATATTGTATAAGGACGGTGTTGTGTATGTTGTATAAGGGCGGTGTTGTGTATGTTGTATAAGGGCGGTGTTGTGTATGTTGTATAAGGACGGTGTTGTGTATGTTGTATAAGGGCGGTGTTGTGTATGTTGTATAAGGACGGTGTTGTGTATGTTGTATAAGGACGGTGTTGTGTATGCTGTATAAGGGGGGTGTTGTGTATGTTGTATAAGGACGGTGTTGTGTATGTTGTATAAGGGCGGTGTTGTGTATGATGTATAAGGGGGGTGTTGTGTATGTTGTATAAGGACGGTGTTGTGTATGTTGTATTAGGACGGTGTTGTGTATGTTGTATTAGGACGGTGTTGTGTATGTTGTATTAGGACGGTGTTGAGATGTTGTATAAGGACGGTGTTGTGTATGTTGTATTAGGACGGTGTTGTGTATGTTGTATTAGGACGGTGTTGTGTATGTTGTATTAGGACGGTGTTGAGATGTTGTATAAGGACGGTGTTGTGTATGTTGTATTAGGACGGTGTTGAGATGTTGTATAAGGACGGTATTGTGTATGTTGTATAAGGGCGGTGTTGTGTATGTTGTATTAGGACGGTGTTGTGTATGTTGTATAAGGACGGTGTTGTGTATGTTGTATTAGGACGGTATTGTGTATGTTGTATAAGGGATGTGTTGTGTATGTTGTATAAGGACGGTGTTGTGTATGTTGTATAAGGACGGTGTTGTGTATGTTGTATAAGGACGGTGTTGTGTATGTTGTATTAGGACGGTGTTGAGATGTTGTATAAGGACGGTGTTGTGTATGTTGTATTAGGACGGTGTTGTGTATGTTGTATAAGGACGGTGTTGTGTATGTTGTATTAGGACGGTGTTGTGTATGTTGTATAAGGACGGTGTTGTGTATGTTGTATAAGGACGGTGTTGAGATGTTGTATAAGAACGGTGTTGTGTATGTTGTATAAGGGCGGTGTTGTGTATGTTGTATAAGGACGGTGTTGTGTATGTTGTATAAAGCGGTGTTGTGTATGTTGTATAAGGACGGTGTTGTGTATGTTGTATAAGGACGGTGTTGAGATGTTGTATAAAGCGGTGTTGTGTATGTTGTATAAAGCGGTGTTGTGTATGTTGTATGAGGACGGTGTTGTGTATGTTGTATAAGGACGGTGTTGTGTATGTTGTATTAGGACGGTATTGTGTATGTTGTATAAGGGATGTGTTGTGTATGTTGTATAAGGACGGTGTTGTGTATGGTGTATAAGGGCGGTGTTGTGTATGTTGTATTAGGACGGTGTTGTGTATGTTGTATAAGGACGGTGTTGTGTATGTTGTATTAGGACGGTATTGTGTATGTTGTATAAGGGATGTGTTGTGTATGTTGTATAAGGACGGTGTTGTGTATGTTGTATAAGGACGGTGTTGTGTATGTTGTATAAGGACGGTGTTGTGTATGTTGTATTAGGACGGTGTTGTGTATGTTGTATAAGGACGGTGTTGTGTATGTTGTATAAGGGCGGTGTTGTGTATGTTGTATTAGGACGGTGTTGTGTATGTTGTATAAGGACGGTGTTGTGTATGTTGTATAAGGACGGTGTTGTGTATGTTGTATAAGGACGGTGTTGTGTATGTTGTATAAGGACGGTGGTGTGTATGTTGTATAAGGACGGTGTTGTGTATGTTGTATAAGGACGGTGTTGTGTATGTTGTATAAGGACGGTGGTGTGTATGTTGTATTTGTCAGACAAAAGGAAACATTTGTCAGACAAAAGGAAACATTTGTCAGACAAAAGGAGAAACATTATTACTTTTCAAAAGTTAATTAATGAAATAAATATAGGTCTCCTCCTTCTCCCTGGGGTAAAAATTTATTTAAAAAAAAAATCTTATTCTGTGCAAGGGGGTGGGGGTCGTTTTTTCGCAACTAGAATAACTAAATATAAGGAGGGTGAGCAAAACGGAAAGTTCGCCCCGGGCGCCGCGGAATGGGTTGCTACGTCTCCTTTTCTGTCCAGTGTTTATGGTGGGGTTTTTGTCTAAGGTATGAGCCTGGGGGGGTTTATCAATGTGTTTGTGGGGGGTGGGGGTGGTTCATCAGATAGACTAGTAGGACAATTGATCTAACACAACATTTAAAAAATAAAACACCCGGCATACAGACCTTTAACTTCTGGTTTAATTTCTTGCTTTTCGTCATCTTATAAAATCCCAGTTTTTAAACTCTCCCGCCTGCTGTGTGTCCCTTTTGGCGCAGGTTTACACATGCGCAGAAAGCGTGTTAACGCAGTTCAGCCCTTACGTGAAATCCATTGTATAATAAACGAGCAGCATTGAGCCTCAAGTTGTGATTGAATTTACTGGCTTTTGTTCCGATAAATCCACTTAAAAAAACACTTTTCAAACTAGAGAGCCCGTGAAATGTATTGTTCCAATTTTTATTATAACGAAAGTAGACACTTATTTTTAACACCTAGATCTAGAACAATGGTATGAACTTAGTCCGGTACGATACGCTTCTAATCGATATAAGAAAGAAGAAACAGCACACAATTAAATAGCCTACCGCTCACAGCGTAATACGTTGTATTTGTATAAATCACTTAGGAGAAAGTGTGCCCGTAGACAACATACACTGGCGTCAAGCAAGAAATGGTGAGAGTATCAACAATAAGTGCATACGTTCTGATTGTTTATACTTCATTTAAAATATTATTAGCAATATTTCCAGTAATAAAATTGATTGATCTAGATCTAGATGACGGTCGGTCTCCGGATAATTTAATGTACACTATCTACATCTCACTAAGGCGACTATTCTCAAACAACACCCCCCCCCCTCCCCCAGGGTTTTATAAATGAAATGACTTGTTTTGTTTGAAACCACGGTCGCATTCAGTTAGTTCAGATGTTGTACTCGACATTTAACCGAACGCACGCGTTAATCCTATGAACATTCTAGTAAACATTTAACCCAAATCGTGTTAATTAATCCTACGAATGTTCTAGTCAACATTTAACACAACGTTCGCGTTAATTCTAGGAACATTAACCATGAAACGTCTAGTTAAAAAAAAACAAATATTGCGTATCACTTAATCCAACAATGTTTCGCGTTGTCATGACACCGTTCGCCACTAACTGTCAAAAGGTGACACTAAAATTTGACATCAGTTCTACTTTTTGACACTCCTTGTCGAAATATGCAAACTAGTTACTGCACAAGTCTCATATTTAAATAGAAAAATCGAGCCAAATGCAAAAGATAAACAATGGATCACTAAACTAAGTCCAAACAAAAAAAAATCTATTTTGGTTTGATAAACTGGCCAGATTTTCAACCCTCGACAAGGCAAGTGAAATCGCAACTCAATGTAGTTGCGTCTCTCATCAATAGTATACAAATCGATTCGCAATACCTATAGATTAATCAAGTAGACTAATTACAAATCTAATTAAATAAAAAGTTTTACATGTCAACCCCTGTTCTTTTTAATTTACTTTGAACACAAAAATAGTTTTACTTCTTTTTGTTTGATTAAGATTTATCAAAAAAAATCACACATTTGTTTTTGACATAGAATATCTTAGATATTTCACAAAAAGTATTTCCGTATCTTTAAAAACTCTTCTTTTACAATTATAACAGCTGAGCTGTGTATGAACAAATCATGAACACATCTGTCTGTCTAGTCAGAAGTTAGATCCAGCGCGTGTAATTGACCAGATTTTGGTCACAAGCACAGCCAAGCCTGGCAACTCCAAACGTCCAACTGGCAACTCCAAACGTCCAACTGGCCTCACAGGGCGCCAGACGCCGTTCGTTCGCTCCCACTTTCGTAATGGGCTTTTTAAAAACTGGGAGCTCGCGATACGGATCAATAACGCTTATCGAAATGATTGGGCTGGATCGATACGAACGACTAATCGAAGGTTGACGTTCCGCTGGAAGGCTATCGGATGGAGAGGTTGGCTGTCAGTGGTGGAGGTTGGCTGTCAGTGTCAGTGGTGGAGGTTGGCTGTCAGTGTCAGTGGTGGAGGTTGGCTGTCAGTGTCAGTGGTGGAGGTTGGCTGTCAGTGGTGGAGGTTGGCTGTCAGTGTCAGTGGTGGAGGTTGGCTGTCAGTGGTGGAGGTTGGCTGTCAGTGTCAGTGGCGGAGGTTGGCTGTCAGTGTCAGTGGTGGAGGTTGGCTGTCAGTGGCGGAGGTTGGCTGTCAGTGTCAGTGGTGGAGGTTGGCTGTCAGTGGTGGAGGTTGGCTGTCAGTGTCAGTGGCGGAGGTTGGCTGTCAGTGTCAGTGGTGGAGGTTGGCTGTCAGTGGTGGAGGTTGGCTGTCAGTGTCAGTGGTGGAGGTTGGCTGTCAGTGGTGGAGGTTGGCTGTCAGTGTCAGTGGTGGAGGTTGGCTGTCAGTGGTGGAGGTTGGCTGTCAGTGTCAGTGGTGGAGGTTGGCTGTCAGTGTCAGTGGTGGAGGTTGGCTGTCATTGTCAGTGGCGGAGGTTGGCTGTCAGTGTCAGTGGTGGAGGTTGGCTGTCAGTGTCAGTGGTGGAGGTTGGCTGTCAGTGGTGGAGGTTGGCTGTCAGTGGTGGAGGTTGGCTGTCAGTGTCAGTGGTGGAAAAGTCATGTGTGTGTCATGTGGCAGACGATGTCTATATGCCATTGTTCAATTATATGCTATATATATATATATATATATATATATATATATATATATATATATATATATATATATACAGCCTGCACAAACGAAAAATACCATCACTGCAGTGAGATAACAGCGAATTGTTTTAAAAACCTGGAAGTGGGGGGCGGGGGGGGGGGGGGAAGGAAGGGAAAACAATTAATTGTTTTTTTTTAAAAACCTCTACTAATTATTTATATATTTCAACTTAAAAGAAAGTTTAAATTGGATGCCAGTGAGTTTAATTGTCAGGGTTAATCCTCGCATTATCCCCAACAGGTGTGTTTTAAAGGAACATTTGAATCGGGAATTCGGAACTCTGTTCGGGTCATGTTGCTATATGTAGGCCCCGCTAACTATAAAGTATAGTTGAAGACTGGAGAAATACTTTATTAGAACTTTATTACAGTGTACGATAGCAATATCACCCCCTCCTTCCACACACACACACAAACATGCAAACACACCCTCACTGTCTTCTGTCAGCCCAACCACATGAACTGCGAGAAGGAAAATGGTCGAGAATTGATTGCTTGATAAAACATGCCAGACCTAATTGTTTGTGTGCAGGGGAAAGAAATACGGCCACAAATAGGGCAGACAATCGCCTTGACCTTGAAGGAGGTCCCATAACCCAGGTGATTGGGATAAATAATGTGGCATAAGGTCTCGCGGCATGGCAGGAACACATCAACATTCGTGTTGTCTGCCACATCAACATTCGTGTTGTCTGCCACATCAACATTCATGTTGTCTGCCACATCAACCACATCAACATTCGTGTTGTCTGCCACATCAACATTTGTGTTGTCTGCCACATCAACATTCGTGTTGTCTGCCACATCAACATTTGTGTTGTCTGCCACATCAACATTCGTGTTGTCTGCCACATCAACCACATCAACATTCGTGTTGTCTGCCACATCAACATTTGTGTTGTCTGCCACATCAACATTCGTGTTGTCTGCCACATCAACATTCGTGTTGTCTGCCACATCAACATTCGTGTTGTCTGCCACATCAACATTCGTGTTGTCTGCCACATCAACATTCGTGTTGTCTGCCACATCAACATTCGTGTTGTCTGCCACATCAACATTCGTGTTGTCTGCCACATCAACATTCGTGTTGTCTGCCACATCAACATTCGTGTTGTCTGCCACATCAACATTCGTGTTGTCTGCCACATCAACATTCGTGTTGTCTGCCACATCAACATTCGTGTTGTCTGCCACATCAACATTCGTGTTGTCTGCCACATCAACATTCGTGTTGTCTGCCACATCCTTAAAGTGTTAGTTTTTACAAAGTATACAGAAAGTCTTGTAATTGTGCAAAAAAAAAATCGAAATGTTTGCAAATCTCGACGTTTTACATCTCCCTGTTTTACAACAGTTTTGCAATCGTGTCCGTATGTGTGTGTGTGTGTATGTGTGTATGTATATGTGTGTGTGTGTGTGTAAACACGATAATTTGAGTACCGTTACAGCCAAGTTGATGACATTTCATATATAAGTATTATATCAAATTTGTAGATCCGTATCAACTTTTCAGCGATTTCCGAATACGGGAAGTGAAACTTTTTCTACTTTCAATTTTTCAAAAGCCTATACCTTGAGTACTATTTCAGATAGATAAATGAAATTTCACATGTAAGTAAAATATCTAATTCTCTGCCTTCTATCAAATTTTGAGTAACTTCCGTTGACCGGAAGTAGTAATTTAGGCTATTTCCGATTTCTCAAAAAAAGCATGTGAATTTATAAAGAACTAATAATATTCCGCACTATTATACACATTTTTTTTGGCGTTCACTTGGTGTGCAATTCATATTTCTACGAGATTCTATTCTATTTTAAAAAGTTTAAGTATTTAAAAATGGATTTAAAATATGATCTATATCCCGAGTTGCTATCCCCTGTTGTTTCATATAAGAATATTCGAGAAAGTTTAGAGGAGATCACTCCCGGTTTATTTAAATCGTGAAACAAAAACCCAAAGCCTACTATGATATGTTCAGTTAGGCAAATAATCCCACACATATCATGTTAAACCCAGGGTGTTGCCCAGCTTCAGAATGTTAAACCCAGAGTGTTGCCCAGTTTCAGAATGTTAAACCCAGAGTGTTGCCCAGCTTCAGAATGTTAAACCTAGGCTGTTGCCCAGTTACAGAATGTTAAACCCAGGGTGTTGCCCAACTTCAGAATGTTAAACCCAGGGTGTTGCGCAGTTTCAGAATGTTAAACCCAGGGTGTTGCCCAGTTTCAGAATGTTAAACCCAGGGTGTTGCCCAGTTTCAGAATGTTAAACCCAGAGTGTTGCCCAGCTTCAGAATGTTAAACCCAGGCTGTTGCGTAGCTCCAGGCAAACCCAAAGTGTTTCTCACATTTTAGAACTTGTTACAGGCAGTTTTGGGAGAAAAAAAATATCCAAATGTTTTTCAACTGAACTAAAGCTCTCATTAACCGAGTCTAATCAATAAGTCTCCATACGATTACTCGAATTTTAGATTAGCACGTGCAATCAAGCCAGGCTGCATATAATGACGGGGGTGGGGGGAGGGGGGGTAAAAACAACTGGCTATGTGGCTATTTCAACAACTTAATTTTGTGTCGTTGACTAGGACGGGCCACATTCCCAGCTATAGAGCCGGGCAGTTTTTACAAGCCGAGGGGCCCACTAAATATAGGGCGGTTTTTTTTTTGTTAATAGGGAGAGGTGGGGGAGGGGTGGGAGGGGTGACGATAAAGTTATAAGAAAACCTAATGAGCACTGAGGGGGTGGGGGAGGGGTGACGACAATTATAAACCAGAATAGTGACGACTAGGGTTGGGGGTGGTGAATGAGAGGGGGGGGTGACAATAAAGTTAAAAGCCAGAGAAGTGACCACTGGGGGTGGAGGGGGTGACAATAAAGTTAAAAGCCAGAGAAGTGACCACTGGGGATGGGGGGGGGTGACA